TGTGTATATATATGTGTGTGTGTATGTGTATATATATGTGTGTGTGTGTGTGTATATATATGTGTGTGTGTGTGTGTGTGTGTATATATATGTGTGTGTGTGTGTATATGTATATGTGTGTGTATATATGTGTGTGTATATGTGTGTATACGTGTGTATACGTGTGTGAGTGTGTGTGTGAGTGTATGTATATGTGTGTGTGTGTGTGAGTGTATGTATATGTGTGTGTGTGTGTGTGTGTGTGTGTGTGTGTGTGTGTGTGTATGTATGTATGTGTGTATATATGTATATACACATACACACACGCAGAGACACGTGTCTCCTAATGCAGAAGAGGCGTTGGTTCATTAACCAGGAGTGCCTCCAGGACGGACCCTCATCAAGGAAAGTGTGTTTATGTCACATAGAAGGTTGGCTGATGGGAGCACAGGGCTCCTGCCTCTCATTACATTAAGTAGAAGAGGCTTCATAGTAAAGGATATACATGGTCGGTTAATGCGCATGGAGCCCCAGTCAGGACTCATATCCTTAAAATGCTCTGAGACAGACGGATAGACAGCCCCTTGAGTCACACTGAACCCAGAGGCCCATCTGTCCAGAGATGGGAAGTGCTGATAGGGAATCAGGCCACCTGACCCTGAAAGTGCATTTTAAAATGACATAAGTTGTCACGGTGTGTGGTGAGATGAGTTGTGTCAGGTTGGGTTGACACCGCAAAGCCCAAACTTGTAGTTACTTAGAGATTGCTGAGAGACTAGAGACTGGTACTGTGCGCCTGAGGGGATAATACAAGGATTTTCAGCAGAAACTGGACCAAATGAACTGACAGACCGGTGTGTGTGTGTGTGTGTGTGTGTGTGTGTGTGTGTGTGTGTTGTATGTTTGAGTGGCAGAACTCATTAGAAATGTGAGCAGGTTTTTGCAGAGTTTTATTTTCTTGGCACTTTCATCCGAATGCCTATCGAGAGAGCAGGATAACGGGAGTACTGTGAGCATTTGGCAGGATCCATTAAGTGGCACATTTTAATGTTTATGTTTCATGTTTTCCTTCAGGGGCAGGGAGAGGCTTCAGCACGGGGGACAGCCATGGAGGGGGACTGTCTCAGCTGCATCAAGTACCTCATGTTTGTCTTCAATTTCCTCATCTTTGTAAGTATTTTTCATCTCTTTCTCAAAGACACTTAATCTGGCTATCTCCGATTCATTGTCAATCTAATGATTTCAGATGGGTTTCCGGCTGCCCCCTGCCCGACTGACTAATGGAGCCACATTTGCATTTCATTAGATGGAGGCAATCTTGATTCTATCAAATTCTTTTTTGATTAGATTTTAGTGTGCTGACACGCATCTGAGCCACACTGTGCCATGAAGAGTTTGTGACTGGCACCTGAGTTTATCAGTCTTGATCAGACAATCAAGGGTAATCCTGTTAGTCTGAGCCTGTAAAGGGGGGAGGGTCTGAGTAAGAAGGTTTGTCTCTTTTCCTGCTTTATTAAGTGCAACCAAACCATTTAGAGACGCTACTCAGATGGGGTTGTTCAAGGCCGCGTTAATAATGCAACCAGCAGAGCAAAGAATGAACTTGACTGTTAGAATCACTCAATAACAACCACTGTTTTTCACAGGCATCCCTTTGTTTCTTTCTTTGGCCCTTTCACACTCGTGTAACACAACAGCATTTTTCAAGCCCAGTGAGCTTTCAAAATGGCTACATCCTCCCCTCATTCCATAACCTCTGCCTCCGACATGACGTGGCGCCCATTTCCAGAGGCCCAGGTCTCTCCCTGTGACAGGAAGAAGGGGATTGTGGTAGAAGTGCGTAAGGCTCAGATCTCTTCCACCCCCCTACCTCAATACCTTCTTTTCTTAATCACATGAGTCAGCCCACGGTGGCTGCAGATAAGTGTTTAGTGAGAGGGAGGGTGGGAGAGGATGGAGGCTGCAGTGCTGTGCATTTCTTTAGCAGGTTGGGGGGTTAGTTGAAGCCGGGTAGATATCTCCACCCACCCCCCACCAAGGTATTATGACTCTTTAGATATCCAGCTTTTGAATCTGCTCTCAACCCAACCCAAAAAAACATCAACTTATTTTTCATTATGTGACATCTTGTTGAATGTTTTGTGTGCCACTGGGGATACCAATTATCATCCAAGTTCCCATTAGTTTTCAAAATGCAGCCAATTTCTGTTTTGTCTAACTAGTGTCTTCTCTCCTTTTTCTCCATCAGCTGGGAGGCTCTTTCCTCCTGGGAGTGGGCGTGTGGGTACTGGTGGACCCCACAGGGTTCAGGGAAATTGTAGCAGCCAACCCCCTGCTATTCACTGGGGTCTACATCATCCTGGGCATGGGAGGCATGCTCTTCCTTCTGGGCTTCCTTGGCTGCTGTGGAGCCATCCGCGAAAACAAGTGTCTGCTCCTCTTTGTGAGTCAACTGACAAATTTGAAATGTAGTTCTGTTACTGATCCTGTTTGTGTGTATATGTATTGATTATTCTGTCTGTCAGTTTTTGGACTGTCATGCTTGAAACAGAAAACCAAAAGAGCAAAATACCCTTCTATAAGGCTTCGTGCCTTGAGCCTCATGCATAGTTAATGCTGAGTGAAGCGGGCACAGCCAGAATGTGATTTTTACTGAGTGACGTGCACTTTTCCTGCCACTCATCCGCCTTGTCCTACTCTCTCTCTCTCTCTCTCTCTCTCTCTCTCTCTCTCTCTCTCTCTC